AAAAATGTATATCAAAGCAGCGCACTACCAGAGCCGCCAAAAATTGTTCATAACAAGATAGTTCACTCTGCCAAAAAATGTCCGCGGAAGTCCGCGCATTGGTTCAGGGGGCGCTGCAGTTTTGGTTTGAAGCTCTCTTTCGTTTCTCCACGAGAAGAAAAGCACAATTTGTTAGTTTTGTTTTTATTGTTTTCCACACAAGTAGGGAAACTGTTCGCAAAGTCCGCGCTTTTTCGAAGAGGACGCCACCAGATTTTGAGGACAATTTTATAACTGGCTCCAAGAAAAGAGTGAACTTTCTTGTAATGTACGATCTTTGGAGCTGCACACTTTATAACGATATCGATACAATTTGATTACCAATACCCTCCAGAGGTTACCTTCTCCTTGACAAAAAAAGTTACTCTGTACTACAGGGGTCATTCAAAAAGTTTTGCCTCCAAGTTCATAATTTCTTTATTACTGATACTACACACAAAGGATACACACCAAATGAAAGCTTAGAATGTCTGCTACATGATAGTACCTTTACTTTTCAACATAGTGGCCTTCTTTGTCAATGCAGATCCGCCAACATCGAATAAGTTGTCGCATGCTGTCGGCGAAAAATTCATGTGGTTTTCCACTGAACCAGCGACACACATCTTTTGAACTTCATCGCCATCTGCATAACATTTTCCTTTGAGGTACTCCTTCAACTTAGGAAAAGGATAAAAGTCAGATGGAGCAAGGGCTGGACTCTATGATGGGTGCCGTAAGTTTTCTTGAAACCTGAGATATGTCATGGCATCTTGAGTTTGCCGAAACGTGTGTGGACGGGCGTTGTCGTGGTGCAAAATTACATATTTTCCAGGCCAAACTCGTGACAGCCGTGCTCTAAGTCTTCTTAGGGTCTGAATATATCGTTCAGAGCTGATAGTGGAACCCTGTTCCAAAAATTCCATATGAATCAGACCATCGCTGTTCCAAAACACTGTCATTAGCATTTTATTTGCAGATGAAACAACTTTGAACTTCTTGGGGCTAGGTGAGCCAGTGTGCCTGTATTCTTTCGATTGTCTTTTGTTCTCTGGGTCATAATGGTTTACCCAAGTCTCGTCTCCTGTGACTATACAGGATAAGAAAGCGTCACCTTCATCGTTATAACGAGCCAGGAGTTCATCACTAACTTGACTTCTGTACAATCTCAGCTCGGGTGACAACATGTGGGGAACCCATCGTGCACACACTTTCCTGTAACCCAACACATCTTGGATAATACACTGAGAACTCCCTACAGAAATCCCTAGCATTTCCCTGACATCTCTTGCTTTGATCCGCCGGTTGGCTTGGGTGATCTCATCCACTCTCTCCTGGTGTTGAACGTCACTGGCAAAGTTGGGAGGACCACAATGAGCTTGGTCATGCAAATCTGTCTCTGCTGGACCGGTTTCAGCGAACTCCTTTGCCCATCTTCGAACAGTGCTTACATCTACATGCTTCACCATAGACTAGCTTCATTCGCCTATGAATATCGATGGGTGCCGCTCATTCTGCAGTAAGGAACTCAATAACAGCTCTTTGCTTTAAGCGCACACTCACTGGTTTGCTGGACGCCATTTTCTCGGCGACAATGTACCTTAGCTTCCATGATGTAAATAGCAGTAACATAAAGGTGTGACATCATAGCATAATTCTGTTCTTTGGGTTTGAGAGAATACATTTGAAAGTCAATTGTGTACAAATTTCATGAAGATATATTGAATAGTTTAGAAGTTATTGGAGAGGAGGCAAAACTTTTTGAACAACCCTCGTATATCCATAAAACTAAGTGTCACGAAAACTTGTCCAGGTGAGTCCGTTGACAAAAGGGATTGGGGTGTAATTATATTATGTTATATTATGTAAAAATCCAACTGATTTACAGAAACCGACATTTTTACGTCTTGCAAAGGAATTACTTTCATTTTTTTTTTATTCTTTCACTGAGCCAAAATCGTGCACTGAGCGTACAAAAAATGGCTGTTACTTAGATAAGTGGTGAGTTGTAGCATGACGACATTATTTTTAAAAATCTAATGCAGCTATATCTCAAATTGATATTATATTAATTTATGATAACCAATAGAACGTAGTGGGGAATTCAATCACTGGATGCTACTGGTATTGGTAGTCAGCAATCAAATTGTGTCGGTATCGTTAAAACAATGCTCATCTCTGATAGTGCGCGGCTTTGATACTTTATTTAAGTCCGCGACTGATAGCATTCCGTTTTTGCCTGTCTTACTTTCTCCTGCTCAAAATGGTCATTATGGTTTTCTTTATTCAAACAAAACGAGATCATGTTCACAGCGGATGAGAAACATAAAGAGATGGTGCAGTTGAAACGTCTGGCAGAGATTTAAAAGATCGGAAATGAATTTATAAGTTTTGTTACATGTCTTTGATCTCTGGTTGATTATTTCTCTCACTGTCCTTCTCTCTCTCTCCCCCCCCCCTCTCTCTCTCTCTCTCTCTCTCTCTCTCTCTCTCTCTCTCTCCCTCTCTCTGTCTTTCTCTCCCTCTCTCTGTCTCTCTGTCTCTCTCCCGCTCTCTCACCACATCCTCCTACTGCTCCTCTTTCTTCTTCTCCACCCAACCTCCTCCTTGCCCCTCCCCCTCCCAACATAGACCAACCAATGTTTAGTCACGCCAGTGTGTACGGAATCATAACCATTCCTGACCTTCATACATAATTTATGTATGAGGTCAGCTTCCTCTTTGTGTTAATTATTTTTATGCTTAATATAGATTATGTTTGGTGTACCGGTATGTATGTCATAACAGGTATATTGTGTGGAGTTGCATGATTGTGGGAGTAAGGCATTTCTTGTTTTTCATTTCAATTAATAAAACAATGTGTAGTACACACAGGCATGACGTTTGTTTCTTTTAACTCTGTACCCCACTCCTGTCCACAGCCTCCTCCTCCCCCTCATCCTCATCTCGGCCCTGTGCCCCTTACCCTACCTGCTGGAACCAGAAAACCCGGACAAGTTCCCTGTGGCCGTCTCGCTCCTGCTCTCCTTCACAGTGTTCTTGGACATATTGGACTCCAATCTTCCAAACAACTCTGAGAACATCGGACTCCTGGGTGAGGGGGCAACTTCAAAAGGGTTTATGGCTGTTTCATAAAATTATGGCAAACCAGTTTGGGCCCAAATTTTCACATTGCGCTCCAGGTCTGTTTTGACTTCAACACATCACGGATTAGTTCACTTTATAAATTATATATTATATTAGTTATATTATATTGTGTTGTATTGTGTTGTGTTGTGTTGTATTGTATTGTATTGTATTGTTTTGCAGTGTGTTGCATTATATTGCATTGTATTGTACTCCATTGTATTGCATTTCTCTGCATTGCATCGCATTGTATTGTGCTGTGTTGTGTTGTGATGTACTGTATAGTATAGTATGTATTGGTCTTTATTCAGATTTAAACTTTCCTTCTTAATCCAATATTCGAAAAATAATCCCTCTTCCTCCTTTTTCCTATACCCACCCCTCCCCTCCTC